TACGAATTTTCCGTAATGCATTATATAACCTCATATTTTTGAAAACACCAGTCAGACTATCCCTGAACAAGACCTTAATCACCCGATTTTGGATGTGGTGGCTACTCTATAATCACAATATTGCTCAACGGTTTGAGGGAATAATGAAAGTATTCAGAAGGTAAATATTGAATTTTTCAATAGGTGGTACGTTTCAATTTGCGGAGGATATCAACGAATTTAATGTCTAATATTTGTGACCTCGTTAGTTATGAATAGCCTCTCATAGAAACTGTCTGCTAAATATGAGATCATATTGGATCACATACTTTGGACGTTTGGTTGACAATAACATACCTTAAAGAAGTTACATTGATTAGCTTCAATAATTACATTTATAAACAGAATGTAAAAGACTGAGGACGCTCAGCTTAGTCAAACCTGGTAGGTTTTAAGCCAGGAAGGAAGGGTGTATTGATCATATCTTCACCCTCCGACAGATTCTAGAACATAGGCATTCCTACCGGCGTCCGACAATCATTATATTTATTTCTTGACCTAAAGGCGGCATTCGATTCTGTCGACCGAGAGGTTCTCTGGCGATGCTTGGCTGTAAAGGGAATGTCGAGAAAATACATTGCACTGATTAAGACACTCTACTCGTACTCATGCAGCCAGGTGAGGGCTTACGGCGAGTTGTCATCTGAAGTGGTGACAACTAGTGGCGTCCGTCAAGGATGCCCATTATCCCCATTCCTATTCAACTTCATCATAGACGTACTAATGGACTTAACCCTAACTCACTTCAGCGACTCAGGGATTGACTTGCTACCAGGAAATAATCTCGTTGACTTAGAATATGCAGATGATGTAGTCCTTCTAGGCGAGGACGTTGACAAAATGCAGAGTCTCCTGAACAGCTTGAGCTGCAATCTTCGTATGTTTGGCATGCGATTCGCTCCCGCCAAATGCAAGATGATGTTACAGGATTGGACTACACCGACTCCTTGATTAGAAATAGGGAGTGAAGCGGTAGAGCACGTTGACCGCTTGACTTATTTGGGAAGCACTAGCTAGCTCCAACGGGTTGATCACTGACGAAATCTCAGCACGGATACAGAGGACTAGTTTCGCATATGCCAGTTTACGCCGTCTCTGGCGTAGACGTGATATCCGGCTATTGACCAAAGGGCGGGTGTACTGCTCAGCAGTCTGCTCCGTCCTCCTCTATGGCTGTGAGACCTGGCCATTGAGAGTGGAAGACATGAAAAGATTAGGTGTCTTTGATCATAGGTATCTGCGTTCTATCTCCTGTGTGAAGTGGTATAACAAGGTAAGCAATATTGAGGTTAGGCATCAGTTGAGTGTTAGGTAAGGAGGGGAAATCAATCGACGAGGCTGTGAAATTACATCGACTGAGATGGTTGGGACATGTGTTACGTATGCCTAGTCATCGCCTTCCTCGACAATGGGCAATGTTAGCTGATATAGGGTCAGGTTGGAAAAGAGCTAGTGGCGGTCAAACCAAAACATGGCTTCACCAGTCAATGAAATCTACAACAGTTAGTCTAAGCCACGTAGGAAGGTGTAGACTTCCTGACTGGTTGGGGTCCTCGGGACAGTAAAAACCAATGGTTGGAAACAATTGGTAACATGGCTCAAAATCGTTCTTAATGGCTGACGCAGATGCATCCACTCCTTGTGACTTATGATTTCCAATTAAACTGTTTTGTTCTCCGTTATTACTATACGTTTGTCTCACACTTCTGTTTACTGTCTATATTATGCATTTCTCCTACTTTCTTTGTGTGCTACATGGAGTGTGGCGACTTGAACTGCCGCACGTATGTGCAAAGTTCTGTATCGAAAACAGACAAACCATTAGTCAGTTTGATATCTACCTAAAGCATTTAGACAACACTTTGATTCTGTGAGATAGGGGTGTAATGCTTGATGATATTTCGTCATCAATCAACTACTCCTTACAATTTATCACAGAAAACGATTCTGAACTAGGTATCTCACCTTTCTCGATGTGTTCCTTATCAAACGGTAATGAAAGAGCTATTAAAAGATCCACCCGACTAAAACGGACATGGAATGGATAATTAACTTATTTTCCATAGATGGGTACCTATTGCAACCGCTCTATTTCAGGATAAGAGATATATTGTTGTTCTGACTGCTTTAACGCGTAACCTTCTGTCGTGAAAGCCATACTTACTTACTGAAAACCACTGTCCAAACTGATTTATTGATACGAACACGAAAGACAAACATCCGAAACCGGTAAACTAACCCAGTGTGGAGGCCGAAAAATATCAAATCATATATGTTCATTGTAAAAATAATGAATTCACTACACATCATGGTTGTAAATTGAGATTGAATAAGGATACGATGTGGTTCACCACGCAGTACGGACAAATCAACCTCCATCTCCAGCTATTTCTAATCATCTCTGGCTCGTAACCAGATCCGTACATCCACATTCGGATCCTTTGCTTCAATCTCCTTTTCTCTCCGCAAATACCCTCGGGCTGTTGGCATACTCTTACGTGGAGTGAGCAACTGCATACCAAAAAGGACTACTTCATCACTACAATTCTGTACTTGTGTATTTTGGGACAATTATAACTCACCAAGTAACTGTATTTTATGTGTATATTAATTTGTGTGGACTGAATTCCTCTCTACTACATACATACATGTTTGTATTTGTTTTGTCCTTTTCATTCGCGTAGAAAAGAGCTTAGCCGTTTAGTCCACAACACCAGTTCCTAAAAAAACCATGCTTATAAATCTGGAATTCCAAGTTGATCAGAATGAGCAGATATAATTCCATTATTTTTCATCGCTTGACTTGATTGGTAGTAGTATTTTCCATATTTCCGATATGAGTCATTCCTATTACACATGTTGGGTGTAGACTCGATGAACAAAGATTCAGTAATCAACCTCTCTCTCCACATACCTATATTACTTCTTAGAATTTTAACCCTCTCCCACTCTATTGTGTGTTAATGCATGCAGTGCAATTGCTGAGCTGTTTTTTTCTAAATTACTTATCTTCTTGGGGTCAACCATTCTTACCTTAGCTCAATTCTTACGTTTTGACAATCTGACTACTCCCAATCTACTAGTTTGACCTATGTAGTTGACATCAATCACAGTCATTGCAAGGTATTTTGTAAATTATATTATTTTGTCTAATTGGGTCCTTTAACCTACAGAGCTTGTCCAACCTGAGTGAGTTTGTAGGTTTCAATGACACCCTAATTCCTGCTGTAATAAAAATCCTTAGGATATTCTAAGATGTCCCCTCCTTATGTGGTATAACAGTAGATGCCTTATATTCTCTCTTATTTATGTTATCATTATTAGTTTCACCATTATTTTTATTTTGCTTTTGACCTTTTCTGATCTTCCTAATGAATTTTACAGGATAGTTATTTGATACCAACCAACTATTCTTCCATCTGTTTTATTTCTTCGTTGAGGTTTTTTGTTGCACTACTTAGTGCAATAGGAATGACTCACCACTTACACCGTAAATATGGAAAATACTGCCACCAATCAAGTCAAGCAATGAAAAATAATGGAATTATATTATAAACGAAGTTAGAAAGTTGTGTGACTAGTATCTTGATATGACTATGAGCAGTAATAAATTGTGCTCGAAACGTGGTGATCAGTAAATACTAGTGTATAACAAACACTGTTAGACATTTGTAAAAAAAATTATATTTGTAAAATCTCAGCGAGATTGAAATGAGTAATTCCAACTTTTCCTGCGTTCGGGAAACTCGTCCGAACTTCTTCAGGGAAATTAATCGAAATTAACACAACAGAGGTTTATATATAAAAAAGACATCTCTTGTTTTTAAAAACCACTTTGTCCAATCATAAGAGTCATGAAACAGGTATCAACATGTATAATAAGCAAAATTGTAATAGCTGTGATCGAAATTTGACCTCGGACTTTCAAATATTGGTCTACCTTTGTCAAACACTTTAAACAGGGTATGTTTGTGGGTAAATAGTTGTAAAACATTTCTTAACGTCTCCATAGGAAGATATAGACAGTCAGGAATTTGACCAAGTATTATTAATTAGTGATACATATCCATTTTTATTTATTAATCAGGATTTGCTATGTATCAGCTAACATCACGCCTTCATGTCTGTTCAAACTGTTACTATCTAGAATTTTATGATTAGACGTATTTTCAAAATTATCGTGTTAAGGATTAGAGTTTAGTCAAAGCACTCTGTAGAGATGTTCCTTTTATAATATAAACCTCTGTTATGTTAATTTCGATTAATTTCCCTGAAGAAGTTCGGACCAGTTTGCCGAACGCAGGAAACGTTGGAATTACTCATTTCAATCTCGCTGAGATTTTACAAATATAATTTTTTTTTTACAAATGTCTACTTCTCACTCGGCGCCCAAATATTTTAGAACTATTCTGTCAAATCTAGACGACAGTTCATTTGAAACACTGTGAGACTTTATCAAAATAAACTTTCGCCCACAATGGAATTATACTCTACCACAGTGCACAAGTTCTATTCTTATACCAGTGACGTTATTTTACGAGATAAAGTTGCTTGTCTCTCACGACCAACCTTCTTCCTATTCCCGGCTTACTGTCGACCAATAGACTAGGCAGTTTGCGAGTTAGTCAGTCGGAGAATCGAACCTGAAACTCTTGCATAACTCGTTGGCTGTCTGGCTAGCTAGCAAGCATTCAACCGACTCAACAATTACACAAAGTGTATTTAACTGTGAAATAACTTATTGTCACATATTATTTGACCAATCATATTGCAAAGAAGATCCTCGAAACAATGACTCATAAGAAAGAACACCACCAGAAAACTGCAAAACTCAACAATTTATTCAAGAACATGAACCAGCACACTGATACATATATAAGCAATGTGAAAAAAAGAGCAAGAATACCAATTCACTGATGCATTATAAAATGTTCAACATTTCACATTCACACATAACTGACTTATATAGGAATGTCTTCAAAATACGGCTTTTCTCTACGCCAAACAATTTCTAAAGCATCAAGAGCTTTCTGGCCTAAAGGCAAATCATTATAACGATCTACAAATGACTGGATAACACCGGGATAAGTTGAAGGATATGCAATTAATTCAACATCATTGGTAGTTTGACGAAGTCCAGGTTGTACAAATATAGGTCGAGGTTTCTTACGATCTAATACAATTTTACGCAGTTTAGTATGTTGCGGAAGTAGTTGACTATAGTGTTGGAAGAAAGCACATCCATCTTTAGCATTTGCTGTACTTTTGTAATACTAAATAAGAAATAGAATAGAGTAAATGAGAAAATATACTGATTAGAAGTTTAATCGAATGTGGTTTCTTTAACTTTGAAAAAAAAACTACCACAATAAAACTGAGGAGTAAATGTCGTACACTCCAAAGGACGATTACATTCTATAATGTACTTAGTGTATATAACTAGTCGCTTCAATGGAGAAGATAGTCTTAATTAATAAATGTGAGTTATCATGAACGCAGTTCCTTGGGCAGGTGTCTTTCAAGACCCAGGCTGGGACAGGACTCGAACCCGGGAACATCCACTGACTGAAAGCCAGTGAATGAGTCATGTTCTCAAATAACTAGGAATAACAGAAGTATATAGCTAGTGGATAATTTAAGTATAAATATAAATATGAGACTCATCGTGCTGAAGTTTCTGTAGCAATTTCGTTTACAGGGTGGGGTTGCTAGTCTCACGCCTGAGAAGGGGGTTGTTACATTAATGTATAGTTTACAGAGGAGCGACGTTTTGGGTTGCTCCCCTTAGCATCAGGAAAACACGGAATAAAGCAATCACGACAACACCAGTAAAAGGAAAAAAAATTACAACAGAAAGGGTAGCAACAGTGCTGCGTGCTAAGTAATCCACAACGGGAAACCCACGGATATCTTCGATGTGAAGATGGGAGTAAGACAAGCTGGCTGCCTACTATATCCGATGATTTTCCTGATTGCCGTAGACTGGACGATGCGACAGACAGAGAGCGGGTAGCGAGGAAACAGGTATAAAATGGACCCACACAAAAAACAAGCATCAAACACAGGAAGGACTTCAAGTGAACATAGAGAAAACAGAGGTGATGAGGATTCCTGGCCAACAGCAACAACAACAGACAGCAATCAGCATAAATGGGAGGAATCTGAAAGAAACAACCTCCTTTGCCTTCCCACCTACCTGGGAAGCATCATTTGAACTACAGGTGAACGGAACTCACGAGGATATCAAAGCAGCGAGGATCGGGAAAGCAAGGCAAGCTTTCATTACTCTCAAGTCTGTGTGGAGGTCAATAGCACTCAACATGAAAAACAAGATCCAGATTTTCAACTCCAATGTGAAGTCAGTGCTACTATACGGATCAGAGACTTGTGGCCGTGTCTCGCAGGGCACTTAGAACAAACTACACACCTTCATCAACAGCTTTCTTCACTCAATGCTACTCAAGATCAGATGGCCGGCCAGAAGAGATCAGCAACAGGGATCTCTGGGATGGACTAAGATAACCACATGTGATTGGTAAAATGCATATTAGTGAAGAGCTCATGATGGCGAACGAATTGAAAAGGAATATATTTCTTAGCTCAATCTATTGTTTTTTTACATTTGTGTGTCTCCACACTTAGATAATTTATATTTTACGTGTATGCAGAGGCATGATTTTGTAGCATGGGGGTACTTTATCGATAATTCTGTCTGAGTAATACTTCGTCTTGAAGATCATACTAGCGAGAAACGCTTAATCATTATCGAATTTCTTTCGTAAATTAACATGAAAGCGGGCATTTTTCGCCCATTCATTCAATTTTTCTTCCAAGATAGAAATAGTTTCATGATTTTCAAGTACACATTCTGTATAAGATTGTGTTGAAATTAATGCATTTGACATTAGAGTGTGCGTCGATGGCGCAGCGGTTAGGACTCTCGCGGACCATGTACATGGTCCGGGGTTCGATCCCCTGCCGACGCACACCTGATATCAATAATGGTCGACCTGCAAAATTCGAGCTACCGATATCACATGCGGTGTGGAATCAAGCTATAATAAATAAAAAATACATGGATGAGGGATTTTGCAGATGATATAATGTCTAATGTCACACAAACTCGAAAACAAACAAACTGGTTGAAGAGACTGGGTGCGAAGGCAGGACTCCGGGTAAACATAGAGAAGACAGAGGTGATAAAGATAACCAACGAACAACAACAGCACCAATCACCATCAACGGGAGAGATTTAACAGAGGTTACCTCCTTCACTTATCTGGGAAGCATCGTTTCAACTACAGGCGGAACGGATGAAGATGTCAAAGCCAGTCAGAATCGGAAAGGCAAGATACGCCTTCATCAACCTGAAACCAGTTTGGAAATCTTCTGCACTCAGCATAGGGAACAAGATTCGGATTTTCAAACCAATGTCAAGTCGGTCAGTTCTTCTGTACGGGTCAGAAACTTAACCAGCGTGTCACGAAAAGGACTTCTAACCGTCTGTTAAATTCATCAACAGCTGCCCGCTTCGCTGGCTCCATACTGAAGATCAAATGACTAACCAGAAAGAATAAGTAACAAGAAACTCTGGCGATGAACAAACCAACCAAGAGCCGATCGCTCAACAAATATGTAGGGGAAAGTGGAGATGGATCGGGCATACATTGAGGAAGCCGCAGAATGACATCGCACGCCAGGCCCTCGAGTGGAATCCCAATGGAAAGCGACGAGTGGGTCGTCGGTACTAGGGTGACATGGAGGAGATCGTGTGAAGAAGAGATGAGAGATTATGGACAATTGTGGACCCAGCTGAGGAGAATGGCAGAAAATAGAACAAAGTGGAGGTGTGTTGCTGAAGCCCTATGTTCCACTCGGAACCCAAGGGAATAATAATAATAATACAAGGATCACATTTTTAAAAATCCTATTCCTCTGCGTTCCGAATGGAATATAGGGTTTCGAAGCTTGAGCTGTAGTGTTTAGTTTTTACGGCATTAGGGTTGCGAGCCTCTCATACCCACCTAGCCTTCCCTCTATACCGGGCTTAATTTCGGAGGCTAAGCGAGGTTTAGGAGTGTGTCAGCTGGCGATCTAGCCCCGAACCAAGTGAGTTGTGGTTGACAAGTATTCTGCCGCTGAAACACCACGACGCACTACTACTCACGGTTCACTGTAGTAATAATTATTAGAAATGGAGAAAAATAAGGCGAACAATTTTTACAGTTATGCTTACTTGTAATTTTCTTAAGAATTCACCAATTGCTGGACGAGCCACAGTTAACAGCTTTTTACGATCAAAGAAAATACACAAATCAGGTGCACCGTCCTCACCGACTACTTCATCTATACGTACCATAGAATTGTCAGCTTCAATCAAAACCTGAAATTACAACAGAAATAGAATTTAAGTTAGATGACGAGCTGATATTGAATACTTGCGCTGATGACAGTGACTGGCTGTAGCGCTATACAAAGCAAATTGGGAGAAGTTAGAATTCATGAGCCGTTTGACTGCATGTCACTACAGTCCCCCCCCGTCCTCTTTTTATGGTTGTGATACATGGCCATTGAAAGTGGGAGACATCAAAAGACCAACTGTCTTTGATCATACGTATCTGCGTTCTATCCCCCATGTTAGGCGATATAATAGGATGAATAATATTGAGGATTAGGCGTCAAGTGTTACATAAAGAGGGAAAATCAATATATTGAGATGGCTGGAACATGTGTTACGCATGACTAGCTATCGCTTCCCTCGATCACCAGTCTTAGCTGACATAGGATCAGGTTGGAAAACAGCTAGTAGTGGTCGAACTAAAACATGGCATCAGTCCATGAGGAATGCACAGACTGCCAGATTCGAGTCCTCGGGATTCTAAGAACCAATGACAGCTGGAGACAATTGATGGCATGACATGAAATCGTTGTCAGTAGCGCAGTTGGATTTACTCTTTATGATATCTCATATCAAATAAACCGTCATTTTTTCCTTGTTTTATTAATTCTTTCTCCCTCACATTCTGCTTATTATCGTTCCTTCAAATCTCTCTTCTCTATCTTTGTGTTACATGGAATGCTGCAACTCGAACTGGTGCACTTCTGTGTGCAAAGTTCTATGCTGAAACCAGTCAGTCATTGCCTGAATAGTCAACATGCTTGCGTCGGATGTCTACCAGCTGATCTAATCCACAATGCTCAAACTTTTCACTGATATTAATGCTTGTATCACCTTTAATAACGAACCTTGAATTAGAGTTATGTGATGAGTTAAATGTGAAGCAGTCATTAATAATGATTTTGTGACCTGACATTAATAGGTACTTTGCAATGGATGATGCAGGATTTCTATTCAGATTAATTGCATTGGGATTTTCTATATGTTTTAATAACCATTTTGGAAACATTTTCCTTTCGTTAACATGGGAATATTCTGTTGTTTCTGCCCATATAAGTGTCACCGCACCTGCAGGTGAACTTGTAGATACAGTTTGAGGTAGGGTCTACAGAATTTCGTCCCTTAACCGTAGGTGTAGGGATCGAAAATGTTCTAGATGTGAGGGAAAGAGATGCGGCGTAGATTGTGCGTTTGATGGCTGACCGAAGTCTTTGAGGTAGCTGTCAACTGCATAATTTAATCAGCCTTGAATGGTAGGTTAATAAAGATAGCTTTCTTTGGTACAGAAGCTGTCTTTTCTAGATGTCGTCTTGATAAAGTTTTCTGGATAACCATTAGCTAATAAAACTGAATGTTGTATGTGTCGAAGCTCATCCGTCAGTGTGTCACTCGTGAATATTTTGCAGGCCCTTAAAAACGAACATTTCACTAGAGAATGTTTAGATAAGAACAATTTTGTTCCTATCATCTCGCGAAATTTGTCTTCTGAATGTCTTATTCTAATAAGTAATTTGAAGTACACGTATATCTTACACTTTCCTCTTACGTAGATTGTATTTCTAATTTTAGATTTTGGAAAAGTCAATTTCAATGAAGTCACAGCAAAAGAAATCATGGAACAGTTGACTACCTTCTCACAACTAGTTGACAAACGTTTGGATCAACTATCACAGTAATTCATCCCACAGTGGGATGAAACAGGTGTCCAGTACTCCCTGGTTATCAACTGTTGCCTAAATGATAACAGCTCGTGCGTCAATTTGAAACCAATCAAATCCCTATGAACCAACATTTGAAAATTGTTTCTCTCTCTAGTCAATTGGTTGAACGATTAATTACATATTAAATGTTAATATGAAACATGCAGGACATATATATATCAATTTAAAAGTGTATGAAGGCTCTAGTCTGATAGAGTGATCGATATCCAGTCTAGAAATAAACGAATCAGAATTAACCTACGTAAAATAACGCCCACTAACTATTTTATTGATCATGATTACAGACTAACTGACATATCATCCCTGGTGATTTCTTGAATTATACATGATTGCGTGAAATATACTTTGTAGGTCTGATGGAGAAGATTTGTAGCTTAGGTGGATGATTTTGATGTAGTTGTGTTCTCTGAGCTGGTGGATAGTTTATTTGCGAAACTTTCATTGCCCTACTAGGCAACATCTTCAGTGCATACTTCAATTTGTTGAAGTGAGCTTTTAGATTTCTCCACGAGTTTATTAATCATCTCTCCTGCTGACCTTGAACATCGTTATTGGTTGTTTTTGTGTTTTCACACCATATAGACTACTTGTATTGGAACTGATTGTTTCTTTGACTTGGATTTCGACCATTTGTGTGTGAGATTTCCTTCTTACCGGTTGGTAAGTTTTGTCTATCTCGATGTGTCTATTGATTGACGATTCACTGGAATTCCAGGGTGACTCCTAAAAACTCTCTAGCATTCTTGGTGTTTCCTCCGTCTAATATTTGAAAGTTGTGCTAGTCGACTAAGAAACTATTAGTTCCAATACAAGTAACAATCTAGAGGGTGTGAAAAAACACAAAACAACCAAAGACTCACGCCCAAGATCACCACTCACCAGGAGAAATGACTAATAAACTCGTGGAGAAATCTAAAAGTTCACTTCAACAAATTAAAGTATGCGCGCTGAAGCGATGTTGCCTAGTAGGGTGGTCAATGAAAGCTTCGCAAATAAAATATCCACCAGCTCAGAGAACACAACCACATCAAAATACTTTGTAGGTCACATCATTGTGTCTTCTCGTTTAAGTAGTGCAGACCGGGGAAACAGGCAGCTGATGCGTAGTGTTGTTGGCGTAGACAGTCAAGCGGTATTCGTGATCAGCGCGTCTGCGTCTCTATTTCAATCCAACGTTTTGTAAAATATAGTATAGTTAACATTTTAGACAACGAATGGACAATGATATAACTTTGTTTACCACCAAGAAAGTTTTATTTTACAGAGATCAGTATGGTTAAAATAAGTGATATTTTTTTCCTGAAAAGGCTTTTTGTCCGCATAAAACATTGACACCATAAAAGTATAAACAATGAGGATGAAAAATAGCGGCAAAAACCAATCACCAAAATAAAACAAACAACAAAGTATGTTTTAATGGAATGTAAATCAGTGCTTAACCTCGCCTAGATTACTAGGTCACTAGTATTCTAGCCGGTCCCAAGCCCGGATAAAGAGGGAGGGTTGGGGCGTGGTGCTAGCAACTCCACCCCCAAAACTTAACCAAATTGCTACTAAAACTTCAACGCACAAATATATTCAAAATTCTAAAATTACAAATAGTGACCTTATTTTTTGCTGGAATCGGGGAAGTGAAATGACGCGGGCTGGTGAAAGCCTTCGGGAAGCCAATCAGCCGATGTGCCTTCTTTCGATGAAAGCGAAAATAAGGATGGGGACGTGGAATGTTCGTACAATGTACGAAGCTGGGAAGGCTGCTCAGGTAGCTGCAGAAATGAGGAGATATAAAATAGAAGTGTTGGGAATCTGCGAGAGCAGATGGAACGGATGTGGAAGGAGCCAACTATCAACTGGAGAGACAATAATCTACTCCGGTCACCCAGAGGACAATCACGAGCACACCGAGGGAGTAGCCATCATGATGTCACCAACAGCGGCTAAAGCTCTCATGCAGTGGGAACCAATCTCCTCCAGGATAATGACAGCCAGGTTCAACTCAAAAGGAAAAAGGTTACAATCATTCAGTGCTACGCGCCTACAAACGCCTCAGAACATGAGAAGAAGGAGGATTTCTACAGTCAACTACAAACAGTAATGGACAACGTCCCAAAGAGCGATATCAAAATCCTGATGGGCGACATGAATGCGAAACTGGGAGGAGACAATACAGGAAGACAACTCACCATGGGTCGTGAGGCCCTCGGTGAAATGAACGAAAATGGTGAACTCTTCTCAGACTTCTGCGCCTTCAATGATTTGGTGATTGGTGGCAGTGTGTTCAAACACAGGGATATACACAAGGCAACATGGATTTCACCAGATGGACACACCAAAAACCAGATAGACTTCATTTCAATCTCAAGGAAGTGGAGACGGAGCCTACTGGACACAAGATCGAGGAGAGGAGCAGATGTGGGTTCAGACCACTATCTAGTACAAGGGACTTTCAAGGTGAAGCTGAAAGCCTCGAGGATACCTGGGGATAGGCCACAATGCAAGTTCAACACGCAAAAACTGAAGGACACAATCACACAGGACATTTTCACTGCAACTGTCAGAGCAAAGCAGGAAACACTACGTGGCACCACTGAGGAATCATCCGTGGAAGACCATTGGAACTCTCTGAAGGTAATTTTCAACGAAACGTGCTCAATTGTTTTAGGAAGAAAGAAGAAACAAGACAAGGAATGGCTCTCAACAGACACTTGGAAACTAATAGAGGAGAGGAGAAAAGTGAAAGAGAAAATGATTCAATGCAAAGATGGACAAGAGAAAGAGACGCTGAACTCAACTTACACAGCACTGGACAAAGAAGTGAAGAAGAGTGCCAGGAAGGACAAAAGACAATTCTACGACAACCTGGCTACTGAAGCTGAGAAGGCAGCAGGCAAAAGGGACCTGAGGACACTATATCAGATAACCAAGTCTCTATCCGGGAAGAGATCAACACAAGTGAAACCTATAAAAGACAGCCAAGGGAACCCAATTACCAAAGAAGAAAGACAGATTAAACAATGGGCGGACCACTTCAAAGGACTCATGAACCGACCACCACCTACAACCCGTCCAGTAATACCAACAACAGCACGTACACAACTGCAAGTTGACACCAATCCTCCAACGAAAACTGAAGTCATGAATGCAATCAAGCTTCTGAAAGCTGGAAAAGCAGCTGGACCAGATGGAATACCCCCGGAAGCACTGAAAGCGGACCCAGAAACGACGGCAGATATGCTGACTCCATTATTGCAAAAGATCTGGAAA